AAACCTGAGGACGGCTGGAGGTAACCGGTGTTCTCTGTCCGCTCTCTGATGGTGATACCCCGTTCAGTAATGAGCAAAGCGCTTGTAATACTTCGGAAAAGGACTCATTAGGATAGTCAACTGTACTTTCAAAGAGCCTGCGCGCAGCACTCTGGACAGCTGAGGTCTCTGCCTCTAATTTCTCAGTATTGGTATCCATGTCCGCACGGCTTCCAGATCCAGATGCGCGACTGCTGTTCTGGCTCGACAACGCCATCACTAGATCGGCTACTTGTAGCGTCTCAAAGACAATAGACCATGCTGATTGTAGCGTTGGTCCTAGTGCAATTGCAAGATTGATTAGAGCCCGCAGACACAGTAAGTTGCGAGGGCCCAGCGTGGGAGCTGTAACATCGTGTGAAGGGCGCCTGTTCTTGTCGGTGGACATTGATGAAGCTTGGCTCACAAAGCTGTCCACGCTGAGCATCCCTCTCGCATTAGAGAAGATCCCAGACTTCTCGTTAGTAGGAGATGAAGCGTTGGCTAGCAGCAAGTTCGATGGGACAGCTGCTTTACCCATAGTAGTGAGGAATGCATCTCGTGGCGTTGAGAGTCTGAGCAGTCCGGCAACCTGAGTAAACTTTTGTATGGCTCGGATCAGAGCCCTGTAATAGTCCGTATCAAGCGTAGCATTAAGGAATGTTGAGCAGGTTGCAAGTACTGCAGGCCAGCATTCCGTGACCAAGTTGGTCGATGTCTGCACGTATGAGTAAGCCGGGTGATCGGTCAGATCCAGAGGATTGACTGGTATAGTCTTTTTGCGGAAAGAATGAGTCCTCGAAAGCTTTCGAGTGTTTCGATCTGGCGATGCGACATCCGTGTCGTCTTCATTCATTTCCTCGGCTTTGGTTTTCTTCCGGCTTCTGCTCTCATGATGTACAGTAAGAGGAAGAACGAATTTTGCGAGGCTTTCAGAAATGTTGGTGATACATGTCAACACCAGACTGTAGATGTACGTTTCGGGTAGTGCAGGTGGATCGGTTTTGTCGAGGTGTTCGATGCACGGAGTTTTGAGAGAACTCCATTGCATGCTGATGCCAGAAGGACGAACATGGTTGCTAGTATCGCTCACAGAACCACCTATGACGCCAGCTAATGCGCCCGCTTCAGCGACAGCTTGATCCGATACCTCTTCTTCAAAACCAGCGGCAGCTGTTGACTGCTGACCTAAGCCAATCGCCGATGGCTTTTCAGTCGCAAGGCGCACGAAAGCCGCTAGGTTGTCTCCAAAAATGTTCTTCTTTCCGTTTTCTGCATCAAATAGGGCATAGATTGCTAGGAGAAGTCTGGAATCGGCGTAAATGCTGCGGAACACCTCGAGACAAAGAACTCTCTTCCATGCCTGAGAGGCCTCAGGATCGAGCATATGGTTCAAAAGACCGAGCGCAATCTCGCATTCGGAGGGAAGCGTGTCAAGATGATACCGAATGATCAGATGTAGTATCCGAATGATGCGCACAGTCACCGCAAAGGACAAACGATCGGATAGAGAGCGTATGATCAGCGGCATTAACTGGGTTCGCATAATGTAAATCTGTTCCGGATGCGTCGTCATAATCTTGTTGTGGTTCGACAGGATTGCTTCGATCAGCTCCAGCGTCGAGGCTGGCGGCAGCGAAGCAAATCGCATGAAGACTGGCTTCTCTCCAACAATGAGTGCGATAAGATCGGTAAACATCTGAACTCCGTCAGTGAAGCTACTGGTATTCAAGAAGATGACGGACCTTGTAGGCATCGTTCGCTGCTGGTCTGACTGAGACTTGGCCATCATCGCCTTTCACCTCGGTCACGGTAGGGATCTCCAAGGCTTTCTCTTTGCATATGGTCAGCCTATGACACGTATATTCCTTGACTCTGCATCATACCATCTTCGGACGCAACTCTGTCGAACACGACAATCACCAACTGTTGCAACGTGGCTGCAGCCGTGTTGCTGACAGCAAAGTTCTTCGCATTTTGGAGGCTTGAACATATTTGTAGAACAGCGGATAATGACTCGCTGCGTATTTCCGCGGGATAGTTCTGAAGCAGTGAAGGTAGCGCCTGCAGTATCTTCAGCTGGATATCATGGCCTGGCAGCGTTAGCTACGTCTGAAGCATTCTGCTCGGTCTTTTTACTTGATGGTACAGATTGCTTGAACGCTTCAAGCACTTCTGTTAGCCGTTCTCGTGGCAATGCTCGCGAAACGCTGAGTCTTTGGAGACATGAAATTCCAGTAGATGCAAATTTGGCATTTTGAGTTCCGCAGGCAATCAAGAAGGGCGAGATGAAATGTGGTCGTCGGGAGAGATCTTGGTTACGTCAACGTATGCAGATAACAGATAATGTGTTATCTCACCAGCCGAGAGTTGGGCCTCTGAAGTATTGGAAAGCGACTTCAAGTCCTTCAAGGCCGTCTCTGCAGCATTGCGTAGCTCGGTATTCTTGCGTTTTGCATCCTGTATGAGGTTGCCTAGTTCAGCCGCCAAGATTTGAGCTGTCATTCTTTTGATATGAGCCGAAGCATCTGGACGGTCCTTCCAGGCAAGGGAGTGACTCGAGAGTTGGGTATTGGGTTGTTGTTCTGTCGAATCGCTAAAGGCAACGTTGTCGCGTCTCGGGCGATGGGCCAAGCGATTCACGCGTGCCAGGTGAGACCCTGGTCCACGGGTGCCTCGTCATAGCCATCGACGCTAGCGGGCCCGACAGACATGTTTAGACAAACATCCATCCTGCTGCCACCCAGAACTTTACAATTGCGCTTGAGTCGAGTATACCGCCAGCAACTTACACTCTAGCTACGCTAACTACAAAGCTCAATCAAAACTCTCTACAGCCGTCAACAGCTGCCACTATCGCATAGCGGGGTCCATCCCACTTCCTCACGCGCCACACTTCTGTTCAGCCTTCACACATAACTACCGCTACTATGGGCGCTAAGGTTCCGCGCAACTTCCGCCTGCTGGAAGAGCTCGAGAAGGGCGAGAAGGGTCTCGGTGCCGGTATGGTAGATCTGTGGTATAGCCGTGGGTAACAGGGTGCTGAGAGTTTACAGAGGCCTGTTCATACGGTCTTGACAATGGCGACGACCTGCTGATGTCCGACTGGAACGGTACTATCCTCGGCCCACCACACGTATGTGCTCCTTTCTCCATGTCGTATGCTACATACTGATCCCGTCGCAGAGCGTCCACGAGAATCGCATTTACAGCGTATCGATCCACTGCGGCCCTGACTACCCCGACACTCCTCCGGAGATCAAGTTCACAACCAAGATCAACCTACCCTGCGTCAACCCTCAGAACGGAAAGGTGCAATAGTCGGAGGCGTAGATGCTGGGCGCATACTGACGATATCAGGTCGATGGGTCGAAGCTGCCATGTCTGGCTCAATGGAAGCGCGATTTCACCATGGAGACGATACTGATAGAGCTCCGAAGGTTAGAACACCCATAAGCTGAAAATAATTTGCATAATACTAATTGCGCATCAGGTATATGGCGCTGCCTCAGAACAAGAAGCTTCCACAGCCACCTGAAGGCGCGATGTTCTAGAAGAACGCGCACAGCCTGCTCCAGAAAAGATCTAAGCATCAGGCATGATATGGGCATAAGATATGATGCATGAAGGAAATGAATGCGCATGGAACGGAGTTATGGTCTGCTAGCGTAGCCATACAGCCTGACAAGAGATCAGGATTATCAACAACTTATATTACTTCATTTTGCTCCTGTCTCGTTCTTTGCGGGGTCTCTGAGGAAGCTTTCACAGCAGAATCCTGAACTCAATTACCAGCCTGGCGAATATCGAGTATCTGGATACGCGCAATGTTGTACTTTGGAAAGAGGTGGTGCGCACGTGATATCTAACATCCCAGCCCAAATCCTTCGCGTTGCGGCGCAGGCCTCGGACCTCCACCACCGAGCCATCTCATGCATGCCCCGATTCCTCCAGCCTAAACGGTCGACACAACACCGCGTAGCAGGTTAGACACTGAGCCTTTTGGTAACTACCAATAACCTCTAACATCGTTTCTAGCAATCGCTCTTTATCGAGCCTTGCTGTCGCGATGTTCCTCCGCTCCGCTCCCAGATGACGACCGAGTTTCTTTGTTCAACGCCATTCGCAACAAGTTCCGGCGGAACAGGAAGATACAGAGCCCTTATCAATTGGGTCTGAGCTTCAAAGCTGGTTATGAGGTGGGTCTATGTCACTGCAGCTTTGAATTTATCAATTGACAATGTATAGACACTCGACCATCTCGATGCCTCCGCTACTGGCAATACAGCCAGCGCAAGCACTCTGACGCAACTGATATCCCAATTGCCCCGCGGTCTAACACGCGGCCCTCCCATAAGACGGCACGAAAAGACGACGCTACCAGACCCTCCCAAAGAACGGCTTGCGTGCCTTCCACCCGAGAGAGCCGTCCTCAACGTGCGACCCTACGCAAAAACTTCGGGGCCTCGCCGCGTCCCTATCCTCGCTTCCGCAAACGGCGTACCCTTCCTGCGCCTCACGAAGCCGCAACCTCCAGCACTGAGTCGCGTCATCCAACAGCGACTACGGCGCAAAAACGAGCTCTTCGACACGAGGGTCCTCCTGGAAAACTGGTGGCTGCCCATATGTCAGCAGGAGGACGTGTGGGACGTACTCATAACCGCGCAATCGAGGGAGCGCGAAGATACTGTGAAATGGCAAACTGCGATTCGTGATTCATTGAGGGAGAACCAGGAAGCACACCAGGCGGACATCATGAAGGATAGAATGATGACGAAGAAGATGCAGAGGATCGTAGATATGGAGACTGAGCTTGCGCTCAAGGAGGGACAGACGATTGTGAGGGGAAGGAAGAGGCATCCTTTACGCATCGTCAAGCCGGAATCATGAGCACAATGTACTATGTTATGGTTTGCTGTATCTGCGCTTTGCAAGATGGGTATATGTTCGACCTGACATGCCATGCCAATGCACTGTAGTCACTATGAAGCCGCGTCAATCTTCAACTTCCCTACATCCACTCCGTCTACACCATCGTCATCGTCCTCATCATCATCCACCTTGCCGACCAAGCCCCGCTGCCACAGCTCCTTACCCGTCAACTTCTTCTCTTCCTTGACAATCCTCTTCTTCTTATCCTCCAGCTCCTTCTCCTCTTCCTTCCGCCTCTTCTCATCCCCCATCTCCTTCCTGAACCTCTCTCGCCATGCGAGGAACGTCTCTCGTGTGACCGCCTCACCCTGGAACTTCTTGTTCTCTTCCTCCTCGGCTTTGGCCTTGGCGATATCGACGAGGGCTTGCTTCGCGTTTTGGCGCTCCGTTATGAGCAGCTCGGCGCTGTCTTTGAGGACGGTTACGAGGGTGAAGACCATGGCCATGCCGAGGTTCTCTTCTATCGTCTCCGTGAGCGAGTCTAGCAGGCGTTGCTTGTCTTCTTGTATGTCGAGGTATTGGTGTCGTGGCGCGTTGGGCGGTTGTGTTACGTCGAGTCGGGGGGCTTCGTCGGGGTAGTTGGGCGGGTAGGAGACATTTAGGATGATGACAGCTGGTGGACATGAGTTTAAGTCTGTCTGTAGAGATAATGCAAGCGCATACGTTGCTCTTCTTCTGTTTCAACGTCTTCGTGGCGGCCATCGTCGAGCGTTATTGCGATTCGGAACTCTGTCTCGGAAACATCTGCGGAGTGTCAGTATATAGTAAGAAGATGTTGCGCAGGAAAGCGCCACCTGTGATCTCGTCGGGAAAGATAGACTCGAGCACCTCGCGCTCTTCTTTCTGATCTTCGATACCCATTGCGTAAAGTAGTATGGAAATTAGTAGAGTGATGGCATCTGCAAGTGACGCTGAGGCTGCTCTGGCGGGGCGCGCCTTCCCCACGTTAGCTCCGTCCGACTGCCGATCTCTAGAAATTTTTGGGAATCATGGACCGCTACATCATACATCCACAACACCACACAGATCTCACATCATGGCGAAAACGAAACCTACCGATCGCAAGGCGAAGAAGAGCGCGAAGAGCGGTGCAGTAAAAGAATCGAAGAAACCGAAGGCGTCACCAGAAGAACTTTTGATCCAAGCCGCTACCTTTTTACAAACATCGCAACCCGAAGAAGCGCTGGTCGCCGCACGAAGAGCCCTCAACCTACTTCAGCCCGGCACATCAAAACCCTCGGCTGCAGCGCTACCTGCACTGAACCTTCTCGGCGAGATCAACGTCGAATTGGGCGACCCAGACTCTGCGCGCGAAGCCTTCCAAGCAGCAATTGTAATCGACCCAGAAGGCGCGAACGATGGCGCTGAGAAGTTCTTATGGCTAGCACAATTAAACGAGGAGGGAGGCGCCGAGAGTGTGCGGTGGTTCGAGAAGGGCATTGAAGTGCTGAAGAGGGAGATCAGTGAGCTGGAAGGCAAGCGGGTGAAGAAGGACGAAGTCGAGGAGCTGCTGGAGGAGAAGAGACAAAAGATAGCGAACTCGCTCTGTGGTATTGCTGAAGTCTACATGACGGATCTGTCCTGGGAAGAAGACGCCGAAGCGCGATGCAACGCTGCCGTCACCGAAGCACTACTTTTCGCACCCGAAAACCCAGAACCACTACAAACGCTCGCATCGATACGCATCTCGCAGCTCAAGCCCGACGAAGCAAAATCCGCACTGACACGGAGCATGGATCTATGGAAAGATCTCGACCCAGACAATCCCAAGGTCCCAGACTACTCAACTCGTATCAGCCTTTCTCGCCTGCTCATGGAAGCTGAGATGGAAGACGAGGCCATCGAAGTGTTGGAGCGGTTAGTGGGCGAGAACGACGGCAGTGTCGATGCGTGGTATCTGGGCGGTTGGTGCCTGCACTTGCTGGCGGGAAAGCAAAAGACAGAGGGGGAGGAGAAGGTTGCAACATCACTACTGCGTGCCAGTCGCGATTGGCTTGAGAACTGCCTCAAGCTCTACAACATGCTGGAGTGGGAGGACGAGCGGCTGAAGGAGCACGCTGATGAGATATTGAAGGAGCTCAACGGCGTACTCGGTCCCTCTACCGGCGAGGAAGATGAGGACTGGGAAGACGCCGACGAGGAGATGGACGATGATGACGATGACGATAATGAGAAGATGGACGGCACGTGAATGTGAAAGTATAACTTTGCAGGCCGGCTTGGCCGTGTTGAGGCCGCCGATGGTCAGCGATACGCGGCTCCGCTGTGAATGGGACCGAAATTGGGGATATTGGGCAGCACGGGCAGCATGGGCAGCAATGTTGGGATGTTGCGATCGAAGTAGTACAGGCCGCGCATAGTACAAGCTGGATGTAGTGTAGATTTATTTGATACCCAGGGTGCGTGGATGGATAGCAGACGCGCGACCTGAGGCAGGCAGTTGGCAGCACCAGCGTGGGACGGGGCCCCTGCATGTGGGATGCCGCCGCGAACCTATGTAGGATGGGCACTAGGATGCTGTCAGCGGTGCCGTGACAGCTCCTGAATAGACGAAGCCACACGCCAATCATTCCCCGCTTTGCGAGCTACTGAGGTCGCGTCCCGCTTCGAGGTGCGAACGCGAAGCAGCGGCGCATCGGCGACGTGAACAGGACGTGTGTGTAGGACGAGTCGTCGCATGCGGAGCGAGTGCGCCAGTCGGTTGCAGGGCAGGCAGCCCATTGGCGCGCTGCGGTGAGGGTGTAACACCAAGGTGCGGTGGATGGGATGAGACATGGCCTGCGCTTGGCAGCTCTGTCGACGTCGCCGGCGCCGCCAACGCCACGAATAATCAATCATGCTCGTCGAGACCAAGACCGCCCTGGGGAGTTGCCGCAAAGTCAAAGTGACGCTGCGCCATCGCCCTCGCCCGCCGACGTGGTGCCTTTAGATCCCAACCCACAAAAGTCAACGCGCCCTCGCCGGCCGTCCCTCGCGCCTGCTCCGACAGATGCTCAGCAAGCCCCACACCCGTACACATCGCATTCGACGGAGAGTGCGTCGCAAACCCTCGGCCGCCCGGGCATGCCATGATCTGGTATCTTCTCTATCCGCTGCGTGGGTGAGTCGCTGCTGCCCCATCACACGCGTCCGCCTCTAAACGCTGCTCTAGTACCACTGAACCACCACGGCTCGACACCTCGCACCCCATCCGCCGCGCGTTCCAGGCCCACGGCACGGCCACGGCCCGGCATTGGCTGCTCTCCATTGTCCTGACCATCACCGTCTCTGTCCTGCTCTGCTACCAGGCCGTCTTCCAGGCCGACAGCTCCGCCGCCGCTGCCCTCCGCAACCTCCCCAAGCATGTCTGGACATCGACCACCGAGGTCGAGGGCGAGCGCCCCGCCGATGTCGTCGTGCGCCAGGTCTGGGTCCATGGCGACTACATGAATGCAATTGCCCTGCCGGTGCTGCGCGAAGCGATGCATGTCCAGGAAGTGCTCATCAACGGCGGATTTGATACGCGCGAGAGTGCTGCGTACGATGAACAGCACAGGCTCCAGCGCGATGCCCCGGGCTGCCTCGTCGCACCTGCCGGAGAGAAGTGGGGCTGGCACTCCCCGTTGATGTACTGGGACTGCTCGCTGAGCGCGCTGGAGAAAGACGACAACCTCCTCGATACCATCAACGCCCATAATCGCATCCGCTCGGCACTCAATGTCACCCTGCGCCCGAGCACCGTCTTTGCCGGCAAGTCCTTCTCGGCCACCAAACTTCGCGCCGCGGATGCGTTGGTTATCACGCTGTTCGACCAGACCAACTCGAGCTTGGGAGATACGTGGGACTCACGGTCGCGCCTTCTGGCTGATAATTTGGACCCAGACTGGACCATCTTCCCGCCCGACGGCCAGGTCGGGCGGAGTCGACTCTACGAGTTCCGGTTCAAGCCGATGACTCTGAACGACGACTTGTTCTTAGCAGCGTCCTACCTGGTGACCGCAGTTTATGTCATATGGAGGATGATGCAGCTGCGAGCAGTCAAGAGTTGGTTTGGTCTGCTTGTAACCATATGTGCCAAGGTAGGCTCACTCCACATGCTACTACTTCCACTGCTAATCACCGGGCAGATGTCTATATGCGTCATCGCCAGTTTTACACTCTGTACCTATCTTGGAATTGATTTAGCGCGAATACCCCGCCCATGGTTTCCTGGAGTTGTCTTTTGTTTTGGATTGGGCAATATGTGCGTACACTGTTGCTTCTCCTCAACCTGGCTGACACAACTAGATTTCGTTTGATTAATGTCGTCCTCGAGACACCCCCGGAGATGCCCCCTCACCAGCGAATCGGAAATGCGCTCGGTGAAGTCGGACATCTATCTCTTGCCATTGCCTTCCAAAATCTGGCCCTTTTGTACTTTTGTTCCCGGCTTGTTTCACCATGGGTAGCCGACTTTTGCGTCTTCGCTGCCGTCACCCTCGTATTCGACCTTGTTTTCCACTTGACCTTCTTTGTCGCTGTTCTCAGCGTCGACGTGCAGAGAATGGAACTTTCAGACTCACTGGACCGCGCCGATCTCCATCAAAACAACAACAAGAAAGGAACGGAGCGGCAGTCTTGGCTTGGAGCGTTGTTAGAAGGTACCCTGCCACTCAGCACGCGCTTTGCCGGCACAGTCGCGATCTGTTCTATTATTCTCGCTATCAACTGGCACTTTTTCGACAACGACGGCAAGCAATTATCCATCGATACGCTTCGCCGAAATCTCACAATGAGGAGACGGAGACGCACCCCTGACAGCACATGGAGCCCACCACCAATCAATCAGGCTAGGACACCCGCTGATTGGCTTAGGATTCAAGATCACAATACTGCCCGGGAACTATTTGGATTCATCAAGCCGGGTGCTTCAAGCTTCATAGCCCGTATTTACGACCCCATCCTCGTGGTTGCGAAAGGGGCATACGGGCGCGACCGACCTCAGCCGCCGCTGTCTTTCACCGATGGAGTCCGCCGCTTTGCGCAAGCACATGCGTTTCCGGTAGCCTTGCTCGTCGTTACGTTTATCGCGACTGTAACATTATTTATGAACTATCTTCTCTGGACTGGACTTCCGAAGACTTCTGAAGACACAGAAGATGACGAAGTCACATTGTCTATCAAGACATTGCCGACGCCGCAGAACCTTGACGTTGTACAATTGGCTTCTTGCTCGAGAGGCCATCTTGCAAGCATATCTCTTGACCGGAGCACTGCACTGTGGCTACATGGCCGCGGAGGGTATCTGCACACAACGCTGCAGACAGCAACGATGAAGCCAAAGCTCTGGCCCATATTTGCTACGGCTATGGACGATGGCGGCAACATCCTTGCAATCTGTGCAGATACTGGCCAGATCGGCTTATGGGACATCCCAGCATCACGATTCCTTCTGTTTCCGAAGATCGATATTCGTGGACAGGCGCCCGTTCTCTTTACATTTGCCTACCTTAAGACACGTTTAGATGTCGAAAAGCTCTACCTCATCATCATCACACCAGACGGACACCTGACCAGGCTCGAAGCACGCACAGGCATCCACTACACCAGGCGCATATCAAGCAGTCCCATCGTCTGCACCACAACCTACACCTCACTCAAGGGCGACACCAGCGTTGTGTTCGTAACGAAGCCTGGCGAAGTCCACATCCTGCCGCTTATGGAGGAGGGCAATACGATGTCCGAGGTAGTCGCCGGTCTCGACCCCGGGCCACCTCCAGGCAGCAACCCTGCGAAGATCCGATGTATAGAGGCTGTTCCTAGTCTGGGTCTCATCTTTGCACTCCGCGACGAGGAGGCTGAGATATTTGACTTCACGAGCCGAGCGCTCGTACACTCTTTCC